TCCCGTATTATCTTGTTTTCACAACTCCATAATTGTGCTCCACACAGCAAAGCAAGTAGCAACTAAAAAACTGAAACACTGACTAAAATTCAACATCTTCCTCTCCTATCTGATGAAGATCATATCTTTATACTTCTTTTTGACTAAATTTATGTTTGTTGCAAAAGCCCTTAAATTATGACCTCCTTTTCTCAAAAAACAAACAAACAAAAATATGAATAGTTGCTGGTAATTTTGTTTTTCTCTGGGAATTTGTGCTGAATTTCACTGATCTGTAAATTTCAGTATTTCAAGCTGTACGAATAGTGAAATGGTCCTTATGGCCTGCAATGTGAAAGATCCAAACTGCTTTTTGTTTTTGAAGAATAAAAAGTGAGTGTAATGTACTTGTGTAGTTATTGTCCCAGACCTTTGAACAATAGCTTAAATAAGGTGAACATAGAGTGATGTGAAATCTAAGGCCTGCTCTGCTTTGTTTAGTGCTGCTTGTTGACACTGAAGGATGAATATATTTAACGTGTCCTTTCTAACTATCTATAATGTCTTTTTCTGTATCAACACCATCTATCTGGATCTTTATATTTGTATTTAATCCATTTAATCCATAAAGTTTATTCACATTTAATCATAATTTGCTCTTATCAAGCCAAATCTTTAATTGAAATATACTGTGTGCAAAAAATGTTCACTGAATGACTTCATCCATTCCTATTGGTCAATGTCAAGTTTGTACAAAAATTTATCATTTTGAAGATATAGTTGCCTTTTCTCAAAGAGACATTGCTGTACGACTGTTTCAGGTCCACTATAAATGTTAAAGATTGTTTTGAATTTGGAATAAATGTTTTGTTTTTTGTGGTTTTCCAAAACTCACATCTCCTGTAACACCAAACCTGCCAGGATCCAGGGATTCCCCACAGGCAGAGGGTTGGGAAGTGTCAGCGACGAGCACCAAGCCAAAGAAACTGCTTCTTTGGAGTGGAAACGAGACCAGAGCTGGCCTGGGAGGACTGGGACCTGGGCAGAGAATTTACCAAGACATTAGTGTTAAAGAACGTCCACAACAAGCTAAAGAAGCTACACATAAGGTGTTTAATCTGCTCTGTGCAAAGCTAAGCTTTGTTTTATCCCTGCAGATAACACGTCCCTCTCTTCCCTTCACAGGCCTCCTGTGTCCAAGATTTTCTCCACCTTGGCTCCTCACATAGCTGTCATCAGCCCCGGGACTTCCTTCTCCATACAAGTCACCTTTAGACCTCTTCAAAGGGTAACACATGTCAAAATCAGACAGAATACTACTTGATCTTCACTGATTTTGAAATATGAAACGTACTAGTGCTTTCAAATGTAAGGTAGACATGCTTGCATGCTTATGCAGCAGTATCTCTGTAGTCAGTAACCTTACATGATACAAACTGATGTATAGAGAGCAGATAAATATAAAAGTAATTTAACTGTTTCAATAAAATCCTGAGTAGATGATAAACTATTTAAATACAGCAGCTCACTTTGTGCTTTGATGTCTTCTGCTTGTGTACCGCTGTGTGTCTGAGACAGTGTGAGTATGAGGACAGCATTGAATTTCAAGGGAAAGAAGGCAGCTTTCATGTATGCCTCCGTGCCGTCGTTCCCTCTCACACCCTGGAGGTTCCTGAGTCTGTGATGCTCCCACTCTGTGCTGTTGAACACTCCACACACACTGATTTCCCATTAAAAAATGCAAGGTACACCGTTATGTCTCTGTGTGTATTTCATTTAACCTGTATATGTGTTTTCTATTTTGGGAGAAAATAGAAAATAGAACGCTTGCTTTTATTTTACTTTAATCGCCTCTTTTTTATTTAATCCTGTAGTAAACTCCATACTTACTTCCAGTGGGAGTGTCCTGCACCATTCCAGCTCCGTCCAGAGCAGGGCCTGCTGAAACCTGGTCAGGAGTGTCACACCACAGTGGTCTTCCGGCCACAGGAGGCACTGGTGTACCAGCAGCAGGCTCTCTGCAGGTTTGGAGAGGAGGGCAAGCTCAAGAGCAGCTGCACTGTCCTGCTACAGGGACTAGGTACTGTAACTAGCAAACCAAAGATCTGACCCACAGTGTCAGTGGGTAAGGGTTCGCGTGAGAAACTGTCGTAACTGTCGTAACTGTCAGCCTCCTCACTATCTCGTTTACTTGTACATCATGACCAAAATATAAAATGATGGGCTTGGCCCACCTCCATAAAGATAACGTTTGCAACATCACACGATGAAAGTAAAATACAAAAGGAGGAATACAAAGTTAGCCTGAATACTGTTTTCCCTGTAAAATTCCACTCTAGGTATTTTTAGATCTACTTCAAATAGTCAAAAGCTGACACATCGGGCTTTCAAGCATCTGTTTTACCTGCGACTTTTTATCTTGCTTTTTTAAGCTAAATATCCACATCTACTGGTGAAAAATGCCAGCAGCAAAGGGGGAGAAGATAATGGTGGCCCACTGGTGGACTTTGGTCCTGTTGCTGTTGGCAAGAGTTTGCAGAAACACTTTGACATTTTTAACCCGTCTCCGGTGGGTGGTGCACATAGACACGTAAGTGCAAAAGTTCACGCTCAAAGCCTTCTCCCACACATCTTTGCATCCTTTCCTGCAGGTAACGGCGTCTTTTTCTCTGTCACGGCTGCCTGGTGGGGTGCCCTCGTTTGGATCAGAGTTCAGCTGTGA